TTTAGCTATAGTTTGCATCTAAGAAATGAAATTTAACTGGGTTTCCACTCTTTGAGAAGTGCAATTTAAATCATTGAAAGGGACGTCAGATCCCCTAGGAAAATTCCAGAACTCTTTTTAGAATTAAGAAAGTATAGTTCGTTCATTTTTATAGAATGATTCAGTAGAATGCTTGCAAACTTGGCACACAAGGATTAAGAAATGCTCAGCCGGAAATATCATAGCATGCTTTAGGGACACTTCCTGTTCATGAAGTGGTACTTTTATTTAACTCTCAATTTTATGTAGTGTAGTAATTATTGTAAGAAACTATATTGAAATAATCTCAGAAAGTGCTGTTTTATCCCAATTTGATGATTTAGTAAACAACTTGGCGAGTTGGCCAAATTAGTCACTTAATCATTAAATTAAGATTAAATAGCCATTTCTTAGCCCATTTAAATGCACTTTCCGACAAATATAAAATTAACACAAAAATGAGATAAATTAAGAAGCATTCCCACTGCATGCGATTCGCATATGAGATTGCTCGCATGAGTTAATAGTTGGTTTTCGAAGTAATTTTTATGTTTCTACAAATTCCACGCATGTTAGGGCAATCAAATACAATGTGAATGTTCCATTAGACAAATAAAAGAATTAGTTTAAAGGCCCACGGAAAGGCAATTTAGCTTCCCAAGCGGTGTACGATTACATTTCTTACCATTTGAGCCTCTTTCATGTCATCACATATCAAAAAAGGTTGAGGCGAATATTTACATAGAAACCAAAACAGTCAAAGACTTCACTCATCACGCGTTCTATATTCTTTTACCCTGCCATCTCTCTTCAAATTTTCAATCGTTGTATTGAATCACCCTATGTAGAATGCTTTTGTAATCATAGACCCCTAATACACAGTGGATAAAATTAAACTGAGGGGGTTAAGAGGCTTCTAGAACCAGTTCTACTTTAGAATGAAGCTTTAAATATGTGTTAGATCTTGGTGCCGAAGCTAATGTCGAATAAATAGATCGAAAGTTTGTCAACAGATGGCTCTTTACTGCTATGTGTGGATTACGCATGCATACAACCATATGCACAGATTGCATGCATATAACGAACGCAGGATCAAAGATTTATTCTTTGAAATTTGAGCTGATAAATTTCTTGCTATTGGCGTAATAATTTTTTTTGATTAATTTAAATAACATGCATCTAATTGAATCCGATCAGTAGAATAAGAGCTACTATTAGTTTATTTTTAACTATCTTATAAAATTCTTATCAAAAAATGCAAAAGTACGTGACAAGTCCTGTAAATGCGTTTTGTCTCCTTAATTTTAGACGGTATCGGTTTTTATGAGTACAAACACTTCTTAAAATTAATAACGAGAAGATGGAATAACTCGGAATAACGTTCACAAAATCGTTGAGCAGTTTTATAATCAGTTGTACAGAAATATAGATGAAATGAAAACGCTTATGAAGGGATGCAATTTAGAAAGTAATTAACAATCTATGTATGCCCTGCAATTAAATCAATGAAGAAAGGGTAAGTACCGGGGAAAAGATCATTTGATAATCAGGTGAGAATCATCTAATAATCAAAAGAGGATTTTTCAAAAATGGTTTCAACTCTTTATTCTAAATGTTCCAAAACCATACCAGACTACAGAAAGAAGTGACCCATTGAGAATGGTCTTTTTTAAATTTTGAAACGAAGATAACTGTTATGTTTAAAACCATTGAGTATCTTAGGCGTCTTGCAATCAACTCTTCAATTTTCCTCGAGACTGGAATGTCGCAACTTCATAAGAGTCATTTGTGACAAGAAGTGTGGTTTTTACCTTTCGGCGTTCCTAGTGTTTTAGAGAACCTTCGGAGATCTTATCTTTCGAAGACCTTCCTCATTTACACACCATTTAGAACGTATGAAGGTAGATACCGCACTTTGTGGTCTAGATTTCGTGTCAAGATGTCCCATACTAGGTTATTGGTAAAAGGGAAAAGTGAGCAGTAGATGTTCAAGGGACAGCGCGTTCGCTTTGAGATGAGGTGAACAGTGTCGAATCCCAGCGATGGATGGTCGATAAAAATTCCGCACCCGTCTTGCACCGATCACAGTGCTGACGTAAAATATCCTCAGCTGTAGACGAAATCATGGGTTTGAGTCCTTTTGCACCTTGAGTCCTCTTGCATCAGGCTAACCGTGGGAGGTTTTCATGGTTTTCCTTTCCATGTAGCACATGTGCTTGTTAGTTCCATCAAAAAGTCCCCCACGAAGTCAAATTTCACCCAATACTTAATCCAGGAGTTTCTGTGTCTTCTGGATTAGGTTCAAAATTACAAGGCTATGGAATAGAACATCAGTTGTTGTAAACGCAAAATTTGGTAGGCTGTTCAACGACGGTTATTAAATAAAAATTTGAAAAGTCACTTGCGAAGAACCTTATCTGTCTCCCATAAATTCTTTGCAAAATTACTGAAATCAAACTGAAAAATGTTTTGGATACGACAATCAGAGATCAAGCAGGTTTTTGGAACAATTGATAATCGTTTTATTAATATCCTAGCGAATTAAAACGAACAAGAAAGTGACCATCAACCAGATGATCTACTAAAATTATAAAAGCAGAAATTTCGAGTTGGAACAAATTTTTGGAAAAGTTTTAAGACGATCTTTACACAATAATGACATGGAAGTCAGTGAAGGTGGTGTTTAAAGCATGGCAAAAGCCATTTAACAACACCAATTTACAATAAAATGGCTAAATTTAGATTTTTGAACTCCTAAATGTAGAAGTTAATTCTTGATTAGACGTTACTTTTTCAATATTGTTTCTTTTTTTCGTACGGTTTACGAAATGAGGTAGAATTCAAAATTAAAGAAGACCATTTATTAGTAACTGTGTTCAGCTTGCTTTTACTTATATTTTTAGAATCCTACAAAAATATTCCCATTTGAGGTCACCCATAAATATTCAGATATGGATCAAAAGTCAGTATATGTGATGAAGTATGAGGATGAAGTTGGTACTTAAAAAACGATCCTTCATTTTCATGATTTTCCTTATATCTCTGCTCTGTATTTGCGTGACATGAAATTTTTTCGAACTTTATTTTATGCAAAGATACGGGAAGTTTTTTTTGTATTTCATTCTTTTTGTTACATTAATGGTTTTTTTTGTTGGTATTTACATTATACTGAACATCAGTTTTTACAAAACATATTAGAATGGACCAGAAAAGTCAAAGTATCTTAAATCTTCCAGCGATGGTACAGAAAAGTTGTTAACTATCATCATCAATGCGAAGTATGCAAAATTTTATAAATCTCACTTGATACCACCTCAATGGTCTGAAAAATGTGACAACTGGACAAAAATTATTCATAAAAGTTATAATAAAGTCATAGATTTGGCTGATTGGTTTGCGGTAGTACTTAATAATCTCAATGCGACATTATTTCTATACAAAATTTTGGAATTGAACTTAATATCTTCTGCCACCTCAACGGCTCTGAATTTTGTTAAACACAATTTTCAATCAATATTTCTCACAGTTAAAATGCAATCAATCCACAATCATTTAATATCCAAAATTTGACGCCATGGAGGTGATTGAAGGCATTAACTCTGAAATTTCGTATAAATATTGTCAACGAGAATTGATAACTTTTAAGCTCAACAACAAACCAATCAACAAAATATTGTAATGTTTTGAATTTAAGCAATTTCAGCCCTTACCGCGCACAGTGGGCCAGCATCCAAGGTTTCGTGGCCAAAATTAGTATTTCGATAAAATTTGTTTAAAAATTTGGGGGTTTTTATGTACAGGTACATTGAATTCATAGTTAAAATTTTGAAATACACTAAAAATTAAAAAAAAGCAAACAAAATGGAGGCTGAAATATGGCGAGCAAAAAAAAAAAATAAAAAAAAAATAATATAGTACGTTTAAATAATTAAATATAGCAATGAAAATATAACAATTTTCGTAATTTTATATTAAAAATGAAAAGCAAATTATATTTCCGAAGTAATATTATAAAATAGCTCGAATTAATAACAACATAACGCGAAAACATGAAAAAAAAAACATAATTTTTTGTTTTTCGGTATATTTAGTCCACCTTTGCAATATGGGCAAAATGGGCAGGTTTTTTCGAAAGAAGAAACATCTAAAAAGACAATAAAAAAAGTTTAGCTAATTACCTCGTGGAACTTTTTGGAGATAAGTTTCGAAAGTGATTCAAGCATTGTAAAATGTCAAATGATAAGATATAAACTATAAATTTGTCAAAAGCATTAACTAATCCAACAAATTGAAAAATTGTACTATAATTTCAGACCAGGAGAGAAAGCGAGACGGAAAAGAGGAAAGGCTGGTAGTAAAACCATTTCAGTTATAGCTAGTTTTGGGGAGGAGTTCACTAATTCTTTTTTTTAAATTTTTCAACAATATCTACTTTATCTTGGAAAAGAAGCAGTTTTATATATATGCCAGAATTATAAAAGAAATCTTGATAGTTACAGATATTTCATTTTTTTCGAAAAAAATGCTGGAATGAAATGTTTTACGTACCGGGTTTTTCTCTTTTCCGTCTTGCTATATAAGGGCATTCACCCATGTTTCAGACTAATTTCTCTGATAAAAATGCAACAGTAAGGGGAAATTCCTATATGTATTTCTGAAATATAAATTTAAAAGTTACATTTTTAACATATTTTTCACTACGTTTTACTCTTGTTGGTCCAAAAAGTAAATTATAATGCTTGGAATCATTATGAATACTTAATTTGGGCGATATTAAAACTGCCTACATATATTTTAGTTGAAAATTTAATTTTGACTTTTGGCCAAAGATCATGGTCTTCTGGCCCACTGCGCCGCGGCATAAAAATATGTAATTGACAACTTGTCGCACTTCCATAAAATGATTTTAGATACTTGGATTTTTTAGCTTTAAGTATATATTAAAAATTGTATTTAGGAAACAGCCTAAATAGCTTCCTTACCGGGTGTTGTAACGAGCCTCAGATATTCAATGAATGTGTCTATATTTTCATAACGCATACAAGTTCTGAAGCAATCGCACGGGACTCCATGAAAGGTAAACTTAGGATTTCCTTGCCAGTCAAATGCTACGTCGAATTCCAAACTATTTGCTCCTTTGTCCAAATAATAATCAACTTGCCTAAGTGAGTTCACCATATGAGCAACATTCCAAATAGGCCTTCTAGTATCTTCAACACTTGCGACTACCTATCAAATACTTTTATATAATTTTCATATTCAAATAATGGATACAATACAAGATTATATATACTATCCATGGACGACAAAGGTGTTTTTCCACATCAGAGAATACAGGTAAATTGTAAAAAGTAGGGTGTAATACTTATCCGAATTGGCATTGAAAAACTCTAGAAATTGTGTGATATTTCAAGTTAATACCGAATTGAGTTTTCAGACACACTTTGAAGGGTGTAATTAAATCTAACTTCCAAAAAATGAAAAAACTTACACCATGAATAATTTTTGTCAATTTTGGCGCATGTTTGGAAACAGTTTAACGATCGATATTTCTTGTATATGTTACCGGCAGAGTTTGAAATCCGGTATTCTATTGAATGCCTAGGCATTGTATATAATGCCTAAAACTAGCAGGCAATGTATGAACCGATTTATATTTCACACATTTCCTAGGCATTCTATAGAATGCCAAATGAGAAATCGGCAAAGTATAAAATGCATCTCCGATTCGTTTCGTAATGTAATGAAATGTAATTCAAAATGTCATTCAATCCTGTCATGTTGCAACAAGTAGGTTAATTTCTTATTTTTTTACATGAAAATTTTGTTTCGCTAAATAAGAAAGGCATAAATTATGTTTCGTACAACTTTCACTTTTCTTTACGGATTTTGAATAAATTTTTTTTAATGGCACTCTCATTATTTTTTCAGAATAACATTTTTGTTTTTGAGAAATGCATACCATTTACATAAAAACCTCACCAGGACGTTTTTCTCTTACTTCGCCTAAATAGCATTTGTCATTCTATAGAATGCCAAGGTATTATATACAATGCCTAGGGAAAGTATGTAATACTTCTCATATTTCATACCTTGCCTAAAAACATCCGGCATTATATACAATGCCTAGGCATTCTATAGAATGCCGGCGTTTCATACTTTGCCGGTAACATATACAATCGAGCAGAGGAGGCGAAAGTTTGATTTTGCCTCTCATGATGCCGAACATTTCACAGAAGTAAACTGTTAGTATGTATATTTTTAATTGTATAGTAAAGATATTCGCCAACAAGTCGCCAATTTTGGCGCACGTTTGGAAACCATCTAGCGATCGATGTTTTTTTTTTTGTATACAATCGAGTAGAGAAGGCGAAAGTTTAATTTCGCCTAACATGATGCTGAACATTCCACAGAAGTAACCTGTTAAAAATGGGCATGTATGTTTTTAGTTGAATGCTAAAGATAATTAAGTTGTCAAAAAATATTTACATAGATCCATTGTATTAAATATTTTATAATATTTAATTTCTGACCGTTTTGATTTTGCTAAGCCTAGGTTGAATTCATAATAGTATTCTCTCTGTGATATTTGATTAATAAACTGATTTAATTTTAAGAAATATATGAATCCTAAATTACCGATTTTTACTTTATATTGTATCGTAAAAATAGCTTTACTAAATCTTATGTGTATCATATTTTACAGTAACTAAATTTTAGAGTCACTTAATTACAAAAGTGGCGGCTCTCTCTTTATACGAAATCGAGAAAAAGAAAAGTCTTGATTTAGTGAAACGCTTAGATCCAAGAGTTATGTCTAATATTTGGTATAATAACACTATTTTTATTGTTAAGATACGCTAAAAAATGAAGCCCAAAAAGAATATATATTATGATTTGCAAATTGATATTCTAGTTGGGAAAAATTGCTACCGAAATCTAAGTCCTATTTAGTGAGAAAAACTGAATTAAAAACACCAAAACCAGTATTATTGCTTGGTGAAATTTTAAGCTATTTCTAGTAATCATGTTTCAACTCCTGCTCTTTCATACATAAGTATTCATACAGGTTTTGATGCTTCATACACCTGCTTTTCTCAACAATGCGTTTTTTAAGCTTAAATATAAATGTACGTAACGCGTTTACTTTCTGATTTCAATTTCAACAATGTAAAAATATACATTAAGGTTGGTTTTTGCAGAATACCCTGTATACAAAAACTGTTAAACTAAATGTTAAACGACTACTTTTTTTTAAAATTTGTATAGTGTCAACAATGTGAAATTTCATTTCATTGCAATTGGATGTCACTGAATAATTAAAACCATTAAGTAAGCTATTTTTTCTTCTTTTTGTACCCTACTCTTAGCTCTAGTTGACTCGAAATTATTTTCTGCTAATATTAAAATTTTTCGCAGCTTATAAATAATGTGTAACTCGATTTTTCTTCACCATTGTTTATTAGAAATGACACTCAACACTGCGTTATTAAATAATATTAAAATTCTAAATTTAAAAAAAAAAATTGTATGGCATTTTATTGCGATAGTCAGTTGACTACGTATTTTCTGATAATATGAAAGTTTTGTATAGTCGATAATGACCATTTAATTTAGCGTTTTTTTACAATTGGTTATTGGAAGAGATGTCAAATTATGCATTACTAAATAATATTAAATATCTAATTTTGAAAATTTTATGATATTTTGATGCAACAGTGAACCCGCAAGACTTTTTAGAAAAAACTTTAAAATTTGGTATTTTTTTAAAAAAAAAATTAATATAAAGGATAATGTTGTGATTTGATTTTACGAATAGAAAGAAAAAGTTTTTTTTCATTGCACCTGAATCTTTCTCATTAAAAATTCCCGAAAGCTTTGATCTAAATATATCTTCCATAATGAGCCTTTCGAAAATTTGTTTCATAACTGCGACAATTTAGTGTCCTATAATATAAATTTCAATAAAATATCGCTTGTAGTATATTCTAAAAGTGCATATATACTGATCCTCTATGTTCAGTCCTCTGCCAAATTATTCGACGCCCTATGCAATTCATTCTATGCATTCTATATGCACATATGCCATGCATTCTATGCAAAATCATAACTATCAGGTGATACTATGAAGCTTTATTGTTTTACCGCGGGTGAAATTATTTTGCCACTTGTTTACGTTCGTGTATTGGTTAAATTTGTAATGCAATACGTTGAAAATAAATACAAATAGGAAGTATATAAAAAATATCATCCATAAACGCTCTTTACATGTATGTTTAAATATAAAAATATTGCACAGAAACTTGTGCAAAGCATGTAATTATTAAAAAACTACTGCGCGTCTAATAATTTGGTCTAATTATTATAATATACTACTATAATACCTGATATAATAAATATTCTATATTTATGTAATATATCGTCTAATTTATCCAATCTTCGAATTTACATTATATATCGTCTAATTTACGCAAGTGATACACGAACGTAAATAAGTGCAAACTGGTTTCAGTCGCGTAGAAGCAATAAAGCTGTGTAGTATCGTTTGATAATTAAGATTTTACGTAGAATCTTATGGTGAGTCTAATAATCTGACCAGGGACTGTAAATCTCTCAACGTAATATTTTCAACCATGGTTTTCTACCCTTACTGATGTTTCATGCCATTTCTTGTCCAAGGAGTACTTTTAGGAACTCTAAAGTCTTATAAGGTATCTAAATTTTAAAAAAATCTGTGGGTATCAAGTTTAGTGAGTAAAATAGGTTTTCAAGTATCACGAGAATGGCCAGAATTACACCATTATTGAGTGCTCTGTGCGTCGGAGCAGAGTTTTGCTGGTATTTGGTTGGTTGGAATTTTTGTGACTAAAAAAGGATGTTTTAAAACGAGTTATAAAAATGTTTGATTATTTTTTGTTATCCTGTATATAAAGAATGTAAAAGCATCTGAATACGATGCAGGTGCAATTTTTTGTGACTAAAAAGGGATGTTTTAAAACGAGTTATAAAAGTGCTTGATTATTTTTTGTTATCCTGTATACAAAGAATGGTAAAGCATATGAATACGATGCAGGTGCATTTTTTTTGTGACTAAAAAGGGATGTTTTAAAACGAGTTACAAAAATGTTTGATTTTTTTTGTTATCCTGTATACAAAGAATGGAAAAGCATATGAATACGATGCAGGTGCATTTTTTTGTGACTTAAAAAGGATGTTTTTAAACGAGTTATAAAAATGTTTGATTATTTTTTTTTATCCTGTATATAAAGAATGGAAAAGCATATGAATGCGACGCAGGTGCATTTTTCGCTAATTCACTTTATTTTGTGAAAAAGTAAGGAACGCTATTTTAGGAGTAATTATAATTTAAAAAGCGCTAATAAAATAGTTCCGTACCTTGAATAATAAGAAAATTATCCAGATCATTCTTTTGTTCCAATCAAGTTTTCTTCTGGTCATTCTGGAATAAAAGTTGGTTGTTCTTTAAAAATGACATCTCTTAATAAGTTATCTTTATTTAAAAGTTATCTCTATTTATATTGATCTTTAAGCTTAAGTCATATTGATCTTACTTATCTATTTTGTAGTCTTATTTTATTTCTAATTTAAAACATCTGGTTGCCAAGCATAAAATTCTCATGGAAATGCTTAATTCAATTTCTAGCCTTTGTTTATACTAATCTCCGAGTTTACATCAAGCATTTATTTTCATAAATGTTTTTACTAGATTAGAGACCGCAATCATAAGTAATCTACACATTTGGTTGATAATAATAAATTTATTAGGGACAACATTTTGGAGTAGTTTTAATTTGATATTTCGTAAAAAATTGAATAAAATTTTTCCGTTTTTGCTATTGATTGAAGTAAACAAAATATTATGATTCTACCAAACATATCGGCAGTGCAAAAAAAAACACTTTATGACTTCAGATGCATCAATAAAAGTAATTAATTCATCATAACTAAAGCATCAATAGAAGTAATTAATTCATCATAACTAAAGCTTCAATAGAAGTAATTAATTCATCATAACTAAAGCATCAATAGAAGTAATTAATTCATCATAACTAAAGCATCAATGGAGGTAATTAATTCATCATAACTAAAGCATCAATGGAAGTAATTAATTCATCATTACTGAAGCATCAATAGGAGTAATTATAGTCTCAAAAAATATCCTCCGAATTCTTATCTATCAAACATCTTCTGGAGTTCTTTTAATGAATGTTTAGTATTTTTATTGTTTCAGGTTAAGTAAAACGGGAGCCAATTAGGCACTACTAGTCACCAGAAAAAAACCAGAAGCTAGAAACCGAAAAACTAGTTACCAGAAAACTAAAATTAGATTTTTAAAATAGCGGTTAAGACGACTAGACATTAGAAGGTTAAGACAACTACTGTCTCTGGTCAAATTATTAGACGCACCGGTTTTCACTTGTTTTCGTTCGTGTATTAATTGGCTAAATTAAACGATAGATAATATAAATTCAACGATTGGATAAATTAGACGACATATATTATATAAATATAGAATATTTATTATACCAGGTATTTTATTAGTATATCATAATAACTAGGCAGAATTATCAGACGCACTGTAATTTTTTAATAATTACATGTTTTGCACGAGTTTGTTTGTAATACTTTTATATTTAAACACATAGTAATCGGTTTTTATTCATGAGATTTTTTATATACTTACTATTTGTATTTATTTTTAAGGCATTACATTACAATTTCAACTAACAGATACACGAACGTAAGCAAATGCAAACCGGTTTCAGCCACATAAAGACAATAAAGCTGTATAGTATCACCTGATAACTAAGATTTTACATAGAATCTTATAGTGCATCTAATAACTTGGCCAAGGACTTTAGATGTTTCAAAATTGAGTTTTAATAGAAAAACACAGCTTTAATTTTTATCTAGACTTTAATTTAACCTTATGCTTTTTCAATGTAATAATCATTAAAATATTTTAAAAGCTTACCTAATTTGGTCTGATATTTGCATACTTGAAAATCAACTCGAATGTTGGTTTTTGAATTTTGTTAATATTCACTTTTAAAGTAAATTTTTTTCTATCATAAAAAACACAAAATTATTCTATAAATGAAACTGATAATAATTATTTAATTCCATGAAATAAACAACAAAATTGAGAGTGAAATGCTAGGATGAAAATAAAGAATTCTGTTTATAGAATGCACCCACTTGGAACTTGTTTGAAATCTTCCAACCCCACTTTTTTATTGCCATTCTTGAACCTTTTGAAAATCTCCACGGGAAGCTGTCTTAAATCAAGACAAAGAAATCCCTCTTTAGATATCCTGCAAAAGGCCGGAGAGTTTCCGAAAAGCAATAAAAAAGAAGAAAAAAAAAAGAAAAAAAAAGAAGAAGAGAATCGAAAAATGTCTCCAATGAGGGAAAAAATGGAAAAGTAAGGAAGAGCAAGCCTAGGAAGAAAAAAAAATTTGAAGACATTTTTAATAACTTTTATCCTAATGATCAGGTTTTCGTGCATTAAGTACCATTCTTAATCGTTCAAAGGATTGATATTAAATATAGTAATTAATTGGCTATTAATTAAGTTCTGAAATCAGACGCAGAAACGTACTTAAAACATAAACGTTTTTTTCGACTAATTTGAATTCGTGACTTTTTGTCTGGAGTCTAAATTTTAATTTGAATACGCCGTTACTTGTTAACTTGATTAAATTTTAACTTGAAAGTTATAAAAAAAAAACTAATTTTAAAATCTTTATTCTTGAAAAACTGTTCTACCGATTTTGGCTCAAATTGCTTATTTTGTTATTTAAAATTAAATTGTTTAAAATAATGTAAAAAGTAACATGACTTACAAAAAAAATAATCTTTTTTTCGGGAATCATTAAATAAAATAATAACAAGTAACCTATAATTATTTAAAATTATTTTTTACATGGAATTTTCATTTAAAAAACGTGTTCTAAATTCGATTTTAAACGTTACTGAGATTTTGAGGGAAACACCTCCCATCGCTTTCTTAACTGAGCTGTTGAGATGTAATATGAAATAATAATATGAAAGCTTCCCTTGCTTCAAAAATAGGAAGAGAGAAATAAAAGTCGATATGTTTCGAGCGTTAAAAAATAGACACACATTCTCAAGACTCGCCAGACGTGAATGAAGAAAATTATTTTACTCCTTTCTTTTGATTTTTACATTCACGTCTGGCGAGTCTTGAAAAAGAGCGGCTGTTTTCGAGTATTTGAAATATGTCGGTTTTTATTACTATTTTTGAAGTAAATGAAGTTTTCATATTATGAAGTATATCTTTCAGGCACAGTTTCAGCTTCTATTTAATTTTGAGGCCATATTTTACCGATTCAACAAATTTGATTATAAAAAAGCGAAGTCTATCTAAACAATGGTATGGTTATTCATCAGATAAAGCACGTTTCTTTGTATGATTTCTCAATTTAGCTAGCAGTTAGCAGAAACTATTGGGTCGGCAAGAAAGTAACCTGGTTTTTTAGAGTGAAACAAATTTTTTTATACAAAAAGTGAGCTTTAATCAGCTAAATATCTTCCATTATGCTCGATGATTTTTGCTAACTTTCTGGAAACTTTATTACCAGCTCTTATGGAACTTCTGGTCTTTATCAACAAAAAAATCAACCAAGTTGTGACTTGAGTTCATTATTATAGCTGAAATTTTTACCATTTGAAAACCTTTGTAAATTTCAAACTAAATGAACAATGTAGGAGTTATATGGGGGATGCGACATCACTTTCCAACTAAGTTTAAAAATTTCGCACATGTTATTAAAGATCTTTCATTCCTCGCATTAAGAAGGTGGATTCTTTTGCAATCCACAATCAGAATGTTTCGTTAACAACATGCATATACTTTGCAAGAAGTAAGAAATATTACAAAGAAATTAGTTACCACTTGATGATGGCGAACAGATGCTACTTAGGTTTAAAAATCCATCTTAGATCGGGATTTATTAGCAATCAAACTTAAATCAGGATATATAAAACACTAATCCGACCAGTAGTTTTCAATGGAAGAGGAATCTGCACATAGAGTAAGCATATAAAAAATAGACTTCTCATTTTTGGAATAAAAATACTGCGCAAAATTTTCAGTTCTGTCGAAAAAAATAACGTCCAGTAATAATCGATGTAAGCAAACAGACATAGAAAAATGCAACAAATCCAACCAAATAAGGTCTAAAGGGCAGTTATTTAGATCAGAAGATAACACTCCAACTAAGGGGGGGGGCTATTAACCTTTAACAAGCTAAGCAGGATTAGAAATTGGTTTAGAATTCGCAACGTAAGTAAAATTTCTTGCTAAAACGAAATTAGAACAGGGTTGAAAACATTAGATATGGTAAAAATTTGCTGCCGCTTCGGCCACTGAGATGAAATAAGTATCAAAGTTTCAGTTCTTTTGCTTTTAAACTAACAAAATTTTCCATCTCATGTGGATTTGTAGCACACCAGTTAGGCTTTTCACTTTCGATCAGAAAGGTAGAAGATTTAAGTCTCAGCTGGTCTTCGAATTTTACCTCTAAATTTCGGTTCTAAAAAAGTGGATAACTATTTAGTATGTTTTTTTTTTCAAATTATAAATTATTATTTTTTAAAAATTTAAATTAATAATTTAAAAAAACAATAAATATTTTATTTTTTTATATTTTATTTTTTGATTGCTTCAACTAATATTAAAATAGAAAATTTGTAGGCAAGTAGGACTACTTAGAATTACGAAATTTGTTAAATGTACATTGATCCATATGTTGTGTACCTCAGTGAAAAATTTTTGATTATAATTATTTTGCAACGAATTTTGAAAGTTTTTCCAAGAGTACATTAGAAAATTTTAGTACAGTTTAAATGTTGTAGAGGCATATTGACAATGGCATATTGATTTATAATTTAAATATCAGTATTTTAAGAGGATATATAAACCTCTTATTATTAATAGCAAGGCTCCGTACAGGGCATTTAAGGAAAGTGATGATATCTTTCAACAAGACCACCAGATATTAACCTATATGCTAACATTGCTCTCTCTCCCAATTAACGTCAGATCACATTTTAAACTGTCAAGTAATTTTAGCTGCACTTTTTAAACTCAACTCATCACAAGAGGACATCCTATACAGTCTTAAAGAACCAGAACTCACAAAATTTATCTTCTAAAGCACTGAAATAGATAAGACATCAAGAGAAATTTTTAGGTTTAGGTAGATTAATAACTGCTATTACTGGCCACTGTTCTATTGATGTGAGCGACTTAAAATTTTTAAAAAAAATCATAAATATTAAAATTAATTATAAAACTAAAATGTTATATATTTTAAAAAGCTAGTCAATTTGAATGATTTTTTAACAACTATATTTTTTTACTGGAAATTGTTTCCAGTTTTTTTCCATAATCCCATTTGAATATAGTTTTGAGGCCTTTTTGATGTCCGACGAAAAAATATTTTTATTATGGAATTCAATATTTTGTTGGTTTAGATTTCCAAATATATATATATGTAT